CCGGAGTTAAACCACGACAGTCCTTAATCCAGCTAGAATTTTTTGCCTGGGTAGAATCTGAATTTTCTTTATGACTGTCCAGGATTTCTGTCTGATTACCAGCCCAGTAAGAGCTACTGTGCAGGACTCTGAGGTGCCACCTGACCAGAAATCCCAAGGATTTCTCAAGAGCATGTATATCAACTACATAATGCATCTGCTGTAAGTCCAAAACTTTTTGGAGGTATTGGAGATACTGTACATACATAAATCAGCTCTTCCTTAAGTGTCAGATTTATTGCCCATATATTGCCTTGTAGATAAACCTGAAAGTACGTACAACTGATGGAAAATTTTTGGCAGAAACTTCAGTCTTGTGTTATCAATACTGTTAAGCTTTATTCTGTTGAGGTACTTTATTTAACCAGCTAAATTCTACCACCAGTGTATTTTAAAATTGTAACTACAAAATTTGTTAGCTCTATTTTAAAAGCTTTTACTTTGTGTCCTGTTGCAGCAGAAATGGCAAGTCCTTTTAAATGTTGAGAAAACCCAGTTTTATGAGTATTTGGTAGCCAGGTTTCAGTCTGCCAAGACCTGTAACATATACAGTCTCAGAGAGATGACGAGATGTGAACATTCTTGCAGACTCTATTGGGTTGGTGGTTTTGGGGGTAGGGAGTTAAATACCACATGCTGCAATTTAGCAAATATCTTATTCTGAGGAGTTTATATTCAGGACTGTGGGCTCTTTCAGCTACAGAAACTTAACATTTCTTTGACTGGCATCTTACTGAGATTTGTCGGATCCTGCTGCTTCTGCAAAACAAGGAAATATATCTAATTGTTCTGCATAACAAGACTCTAAGTCAAGTCCATTTCTATAAGAAAATGTGTCAGCTTGGCCTTCCTATAACAGTGCTGAGTAGCTGTGGCTCCAAGAGCAGTTCATAGCCTACTTTCAACATTGCTTGTTGTTGAGCATATTGATAATTCAGGTGTGAGGGTGTTTGCTGACACAAACCAAAATGAAACTAAACCTGCAGTTTGAAAGAAGCAGGAGCTAACTGGAGTAAAAATCTTGCTGTTATTTTATTCTGGCCTTTTGGTCAAGAATAGACTCACCTGAGAACTCTTTTGTGGTTTTATGACAGACTCGAGTCTGATGATTCCATGGATTTTGCTGTGACACTGCTTGTTTATGCATTGTACTACGGAGTGATGGGAAGAGGCTTTGCAGAGATTTGTTCTGACTACATGTCTTTCACTGTAGATCTAAGTGCTGTGGATCATCGTCCTTAATACCACTTTCCAGGACTGGAAGCGAGCTCTTGAATCTCTTGTGCTGCTGGGTTCATCAGAATAAGGTCCACTTGATACTCTCGCAGTAAACTAACCTCACTTTTCCTTAAGGAGAGCTGTACTTGTGCCACAGAAAAGCTGTTGAACTCCCTTGCCAATCTTATTATTAGAAGAATCATCTTAATGAAGCAATAGCCGCTGACATATGCCAGGTCCTGATTTGGGGTTTCCAACAAGCTGGTACCTATGTACAAGAGACTACAAAATTTTCCTAATTGCCATAGGAAGACAGGCTTCTTACTTCTCCAAAGTCTGTGAAAGAATCTTGTTGCCTTTTCCTTTTCTTTGGCTGTTATCTTCCCTTTCCAAATAGGGAATTTTCTCAGCATGCTTCTCTTACATTCCAGTTATTTAATACCAAGCAGGCAGTTGCTAAAGTTCTTGCATCAGCAATAAGATTTTAATTATTTCTTGGTAACTCTGTACATCCTGGCACTAGTAAACTAAGACGACTGTAGCCATTTTTGTGTGTCCTTATCTTTGATGGTACTTAAAATGTGTTTATGTATCCTTGCCTCTAAGCAAATATTTGGTTATTCTTTGGCTTCTTTTTTTCCTGTAAACCTGATCTTGACAGTTTTACAGCATCAGTGGCATACTAGCAAGAAATTTGTCCAATGACATCTGCACAGTCTGCAAGAAGAAAATTTTTGTGGATATAAATGAAGAAGGGATCATTGAAAATACCTACCAGCTTGTCCTGTAATCATGTGTATCCTTTCCATGTAATTATGGAACTGTTGTTTTCTCCTCTTTTATGCTGTATTAAAAAATAATAACAACATAAATAAATACCAAGAAAAAAAGAAACCAAAACCACATTCAGAAACAACATAGCACAAAAGTAACGGTAGGAACATTAATACTTTTCAGCTCTGTGAAACAAGTTGAGGCCATGCAGCCTCAACCTTTTGGACAGACAAACCGATGCAAGAGTGGCTGTAACCCTGCAGTTTCAGGTCTAGATCTGCCTTCCAGGTACATGGCGCACAGCCTGTGTGGGTGTGCCTGGCAGGATCTTGGACCAGGCATGCTGACCCATTGGCCATATCTGCTAATTCCACTCCACACACCCCCCCACACACACCCCCAGCACTGCAGAGGATTTCCTGTGTTTTTTCCCAGGATTTTCCTGGGACTGTGTTTGCTGTGTAGTTTTAAGGCAGATGTGGAACCCTTCTCCAAAGATGGCATATACATACCCTACAGCCTGACAGAAGACCCAATGTCTCATACTCAGGGGTACCAAACAACTGCGAAGTTTGCATTCCAGAAGGCAAAATGAAAGGTATCGCATACCTGCTGGAACAGTGTTATTAATCACTCCCTTCTGCAGTTCATGAAAGTATCCTGGCTTCTTGCCAGCTGGAAAATATGAATACCAGTCTGGACGTTCAGGACACTAGGTTCGGCTTTAAAATAATTTTAAATATTCTAAATATTTTAAGTGATCTGAAACTAATCAGTTATAAACTGAGGCAGTATCCATAATCAGTCTTCACAATTATCTGTTGATGGTTTAACTAGGTTTGCAGATGTATGCGCTGGGCCTTAGTTATATTTGAAAGGTTCCTTAATGATACCTGTGATACCAAGTTTCATGAATTCCACATCTGTGGTTGGTGCATTGTTGGCAAGAACCAGACTCACCCGTACTGCCCTGAGAAAATTGAGTCGAAGAGGATGTTAAGCCCATATCCTTAAACCCATATCCTTTCCCTAACAAGTGTGCTTTTGATTTCGATATTCTAAACCATAGCCTGATTACTGGCTAATTCTTGTTTTGATCTGCAGTGGAGGAATGAGATGCACACATTAAATAAATGAAAAACAATTATTATTAAGGAACAATTATACTTAGATGATAATTCTGTTTGGCTTTATCTTATCTAAGACCCCAAGCAAGCTAAGAAAAAAAAAAGTGCATATATATTTTCCTTCTTGATTTTAAGACATCGGGAAATCATTTTTATAATGAGGGGAACATTTTAAAGAATGTAAATCTCAGTTTTAGAAGGACCACACAGTGGATTTTGCTCTTTAATGAAATAACAAAATTGATACAATCCACTTTCAGAACAAGTGCTGTTTTTACCCCCTTCTCTTAGTAGTTAGTAAACAACATTTTTCCTTTAGCAAGTGAAATAATAGTTGAAGATCTGCTGCTGCATCAGTAAAAATCTGCTGCAGTGGAAGCCAAGTTTGGCTTACTTATTTCAAGCCTATTTTAACCATAGGTGAGGAGGATATTTACATTTAACCTTAACCCAATGAAAAAAGAAGTAAATTAGAAGAGTTCAAAAGAAGAATTTCAAAATTTCAAAATTTTAACCCAATACTTTTCCTTTGATTCTGGCTAAGAAAACCACCAAGATTTACCTATTGTTTCATTTTCTCTATAGTTTCCTTAACAACAGATTAGGTGGGAATGCACATGTGTTGTATGGACAAATTTTGTACTGCCCTGCTATCTGGCGGTTTGGCAACCAATTCCTCTAGGCATTGTTCAAGGCATTATTTACTCAGTTGGTCTAGAACAGGACTCAGATTATTAGTGAGAATGCTAAGTGTTGGACCTGCTTACAATAATATGCATATTCTGTACTTCATTTTTAAAAGACTAGAGAAAATAGCAGTTGTTTGAACTCTGGTGTGCCATATATCCCTTTTGCAGGACAGTGCCTCTTTTTGCATTACAGCAAGACTGTACAGCATGCTATAAGAGGGTTTTTTAAAATTTTCTCGAAGTAAAAATCAAAAGAAATTGCTGCCTTCAGTGGAAAGATTGTTCTAGAAAGAATTAGGATATATTTTCTTAGTATGAATATTCCTTTTAAAAAAGCCAAAATGCCAATATTTTAAGTTCATTTCATTATTAAATACAGTGGTAGTGGCTTCCAGCTGAAATTCTGACTACAGAAAATTGTGCAGTGGATAAGGAAAATTTAAAGTCAGATAATGGCTTCCTATACAGCAAATTCTGAAACATTTTACCCAAATATGCTGATCATTTGATTAATGTAAGGTAATGTAAGGTTACCATTAGCTTTTTTTCCCCTTACCTCTTTCAAGAGCTGTAATTCATACATCTTATGGCCACTTACAAAAAGCCCTGACCACAGGAATGTTTATGGTGTGCTCAGTAGTCAGGCCCATATGAGGAGGTCCTATATTAGTCCTCTTTGACTTACTGTCACCATGCTCAAAAGTCCCAGCTTCCAATAACCAGCTTCTCCAGCATGGAAGGATGAAGTTATGATCCCTAGCCACCGATTCCATACGCTGCTATTGCTTTAAAAAAAGAAAAAAATACAACCCAACGCACACACAAAAACCAAAAAGCCCCAGATAAAAACGGATGCATGTCTTGCTGCTTAGTGGCTGAATGGTTGACATCTATACTACCTTGGCCATACTTTGAGGAATTGAAACACAGTGTGTTTATGCAAGAATGGGCAGTTCTGCTTAGGAGTCGGAGAAGCTGGTCTTAAAAGGTAGTTTGCCTAGCTGAAGTAGATTTTGAACTCAGATGAAATATGGTCAGTATTTTAAGAACCTTTACATTGTCATTAGAAATCAGAAATACAGATTAGCTTAATTTACACTTTAATATATATGAGACTAAAGCAGAGATTGCATGAAGCCATCTACAGGTGAAGGTAAAGTTTAGACATTGAAAATAGGAAATGATGCACTAAAAAAAACCCTTAAGTGAATGAAAGAAAGAGTAGACCTTAAGTACATAGCAAGAAGGTGGCTTTGCTTAGATGAAATAGCAAAGGTAATAATTCTCATAACGTGTTATGCCTGTGTTAATATATGAAAAACTGCATGTAAATAAATTGTTCTCTTTGCATTACACTGTCAGAGTTACCTAATTGTGAGTGTAATGGAAGAATGTTGTCCTCAGCCTTCTCAATGGCTCGCAAAGGACAGGGGGACTGTCCTACTGATACATAGGCTCTGTGGAGAAGAACCTCCTAAAAGCAGTAACACAACAGGTTAACACAACACAACAGCTGTGAGATGAGACTTCTGATGCACCAACTCAATTACAAATATTGAGGTGTTTGAACAGAGATTTTGTACATGCTAGATGCCCCAAACCAAAACATAAGAATAAAAACACTGACCTGGACATGACCTAATCATAGATAAAGCAAGGTGCTGTAGGCATTTCCATGTGAAGGCATTTAAGATATGCCTCTGTACATGCCTGGAAATTCCAGCACTGTGCTTAAGCCCTGAACTGATCCAGAAGTTAGTTGTCCCTCTGGCCTACCAAATTCGGGCTGGTAGGTTTCATCTCAGATTTCCTGTGGCTGAAAGACAGGTATCACCTAAGATACCCCTTTCTTTTTAAATCGTCTCTGAAGGAAGAGAATGGTGCCAGTGTCTCCCATTTCTTCCACTTTTTCAGCAATTAGAGGCCTTGTCCCAGAAATCTTCTTGAGAAAACATGGCCCCAGCTGCCAACAAACACAATGTCTGGGGTGGGATGCTCTCTACCCTCTTGTGGTTTTGTGGACTGAGTTTACAGGGAGAGCAAAAAGTTAGGAAACACCTTTTTCACGCCTGTGCTATGGTTGCTGATCAGGGAGAGGAGTATGGTGTTGAATTCAAAGACTATATGTATTAGTGTTTCCTACATTTTAGCTGGGAATAGCTTAAACTCCATTTAAGCAAGTCAGAAGAATGTTTGGACCCTACTCTGAAGCATCTATTCCCATATATGGTACAATGAAACTATACGGAAATCATCTGTAAGTGTCTTTCACCGAGGAAGTTGTCTGTCGTAAAACAGCCAGCAGCACAGTGTGAAAGTGCATTTTTACATTAAGCCTTGCAGCCACAATTCTCAGGAGCTCTCAACATTTAACTTACAGTGATTGTGAAATACTGCTGAGAATTGGTACTTAGATGCACTAACTAGGAGAGCTAAGACAGAAATCCTTGCTGCATATGCTGACTTTTATTGCATTTGATTAGAAGTGGTTTGTACAAAGAATGCAGAAAAAACCTTGGCTAGGCAGTCTCTTTCCTAAAGCTTTTGCAAAGATAAAGATATATAAACTACATAGTTGTTTATCTAAACAAATTTTCATCATTAAATATGTAAGAGAAACAGCTTTTGCTAACACTGCTGATTAATGTCTGTAGACAATTGTTGTGGTTTAACCCCGGAAGGAGGCTCAGCACTGCCCAGCTGCTTGCCAACTCTCCCTTGCAGTGGAACAAGGGAGAGAATAGGAGGGGTAAAAGCAAGAAAACTCATGGCTTGAGATAAGCCAATTCAATAGGCAAAGCAAAAGCTGAACACAGGCAAAATGATGAATTCATTCGTTACCTCCTGTCAGCAGGCAGATGTTTAGCAATTTCCATGAAAGCAGGGCTCCATCACACGAAACAGTTACTTGAGAAGACAAACTCCAAACATCCTCCCTTCCTCTTTCTTTCCCATAACTCTTATTGCTGAATGTGACATTATATTGTATGGAATATCACTTTGGTCAGCTGGGATGAGGTGTTCCAGCCATGTCCCATCCTGAATCAGCATGCACCCCCAGCATACTCACTGGCAGGACAGTGAGAGAAACAGAAAAGGCCATGATGCTGTGCAAGCACTGTTCAGCAAGAGCTTAAACATCCCTATGCTATCAACGCTGTTTTGGTCACAATTCCAAACACAGCACTATAGGAGCAACAATGTAGAAAATTAACTCTATTCCAGAAAAAAAAACAGTACAAAAATGTACAACCACAGATAAAAAAGAAAATTATCTCACAGCAAGTAAGAGAATTTATAGTAGGTCAGCTCTCTGTTGACAAGACAGAGAGAGAGGATTGGATGAACATGCAAGAGAAACAAATCCAGAGTACACTTGCTACGTATTCAGACTTAGTGCCTCTGTCTAGGACTTTAGAGCTATTTTCAAATTAAACCAAAACATCTCCTGCTGCTCTTCTTCAAGAGG